CTTTTGGATTCAATCATTGTAATGATTTGTGCATGCTCTTTCCTATGTTCCAACATAATCAATGCATATTAAACTCAATACATATAAAAAATCGAACAGACTCCCAAAATAAATTATCTTGACCCAAAATAAATCCAATAAATAATGTGTTTTTATATATTTTCTACATTAAATAATTATTTATTTATATGAGGTTAAGTCCACACATGTTCTTTCTTACTTAGCGTTTAAGAGAACTGGTTTGGATTTTTCCGTTATTGATGAATACCGTGACAAAAAAATATAATAAAAATAAAAATTAATCAATTATTAATTTTAAAAATTTTAATTCAACCAATTACATAAAATAATGCAGAATTCAAATAGTCACAAAAAAAAATATTAAACTTTTATCTAGAAAAATAAAAACATCAACTAATTTGATACAAAAACGTTTATCTAAAATATCAATTATTATGTACGGAGGGAGGGAGGGAGTATAAAAAACAAACAACAAACTCATAATTTTCTAGTCAAGGTTCTTGATTAGTTGGTTGACGTGCTCGTCAAGCTTCTTGATTAGTTCATTGACGTGCTCGTCAACTTCTTCGAAAAGAGAAGCACGGGCTCCTCCATTAACGATGCCTCCTTTGTTCTGAAAACATCACACAGGTTAGGAGGTCAGGATGAAATTAAAACTGAGTAGAGTAAGAGCCTTTACCCTTAGCAGGACGATGTTCATAGTTTGTTTGAGAAGGTTTATAGAGTAGTTTGATGACAATAGTTCGAGGGAATGTTCATTCCATTCTTCTACAAACTTTTTAAGAAGAGCACAACAAGCTTTTGGGTTATCCGCATAGTAATTAGTGTCCCAGAAACGGCAGCAATCGGGGTTCTTAAACCTACCTGTATACTGTATGCATAGACCATGGTTGGTTGTGATCAGAAGAAGTATAAAGATTTTGTATTATAAATTTCAATACTACTACACTTAATTAGATTTATTACTCTGTCGGATGTATCAGGGAATGTAAGATGCAGCAAGATCTCAAATGAGGACACTGGAATCAGCCGCACTAAATCCTCCTAAACAGCATGACTTAAATTATGGTCTGAGCTCTTGGATGCGACACAATTCTGGTAAGAAAACAAGATCAGATGATTGTC